CAACTTGTATAGCTGAACCTCACCTGAGCTGTTTCTTTTCTTTTTCAGACTTGAATGAATGTCTGGTTTCCTCTTCATGAAAAAAGCTTGGCTCAGACCTCTCTCCAGAATCTACCGAGGCTGATGGCTTTTGGATACGTCTCCCTGTGGCCTTGCGAAATGCAAGGCACAATGCTGGCTTTGTACTAAGTCTTTTCTACGGCCTACTGGAACAAAACCTCTTGAAGTATGCCTGCTCCGCTGTAGGGCAAAAGTCTCGCCCTAAGAGTTTGCTGTGCAGTGTGAAAAGGAGACAAGTGTGTGGAGCCATGAGGACTGCAAGTTTCCCAAACAAAAAGATAGCTGAGGGCAAACGTCCAGAAATATATAGGCTGTTGGGCGCTCCCATATGTCATAGAAGAGGGGTCTGGTTTGCCAAGGACTCTTCCAGAAAGCAAAATGCTGACTCTTGGAAGGTCTTCAAATTCTTGCTCTTTTCAACCTAGCCAAGTTTTCTTGGTCTCGTTTCTTTGCTGGGGTTTTCCAAGCGATTGTGGCAGACAATGTTTCTCAGAGCAGGACAGATTCTTCCCCATTGCCAGCTCCTGTATTTGTGCTGAGCCTAAAGGAGCTTCATATTTTTAATATAAACTTTTTACAGAGATTCACGTGAAGTCTCGGCTCTGTTTTTTTCCTCTCCTTTGCTTTAGTCCACCCTTTTTAAGTTTTCCCAATAGTGTAGAGACCTTTCTTTGTATTAGTTTTTGGGTGGAGCATAACCCCCCCCCCAAAGGCCAGTGTTAGCTGATCTATTCCATTTGCTTGTATAGAGCTCTTTTGCTGGACTATTGATTGATTGATTGATTGATTGATTGATTGATTGCAGCAGAGCTACAGAGAATAGAGGCTTGAGAATTGTCTGGTAATCCTAGGCCCATGTAATCCAAAACAGGCATCCTTAGCACCTGCATTCAGCAGTATCCATATACCAGCAGTCCAAGAGACAACAGAAGCTTTTTACCAGTTTAAGCTTCACAAGGAAGAAGATTGAGACAGTATACAACCATCGCTTTGCACCAAAGGCAGGAAACTTTCAAAGACAGAGAGATGACTGCAACCAGCAAAATCTTCTTTTGTAATGTATTGTTTCAAGTTATCCTATAATAGCCCCGGGTGGAGTTAACCCTTTTTTATTCTTGTTTTCAGTAAACTTATTTCGGTTACCTTTTCACCTTGCTTAAAGTGTCTCTGTCTGCTAAGGGTCTTAATCTTAACAGACGGTATCAGATAGCTCCCGAGTAAAGCCAGACACTATAGGTTTTCCCCAAAGGCTCAGGTGTGCCATCACAGTTTAGGACAGATATAATCAGCCCTTCACATTTGAGGATTGGAGTTTTGCACATTTGTTTCTTCTCAGATTTGTTTAAAATATTGTCTCTATTATTTTCTAGTTCCTCCAATGAAATTTCAAGCAATCTGAAGTAATCGTGAGAACATGTTAAAAGAGCCCCCTCTTCCTTTTAAAATTACTTTAGCTGGCTTAATTAAAATTACCTTCATTCCGGCTGCAGCTGCAGGTCCACTGGGATCCACAGCTTGAACATGGCAAGGCTTACTTCCACGCACCACAAATCCCCATCCAACAGCATCACCTACAATCTTGAAAAGAAATGAGAAGATGTTCTTGTGATTTCTTATTATCATAGTTTCTGGATTACCCATTCAGTGATTAGCTAGTGTGAAGATATTATTGTCTCTCTCTTTTCCATATCTACTGCCCTTCTCATTTTACAAGTTATGTAGAGTTTGGAAAAGTTGCTGTTTGAGATTACAACTCCCAGAACTTTCTAGCTATATTAGCTTGGGAATTTTAGGAATTGCAGTCTAAACATGTATAATTTCCTGGTTCAAATTATGTGTTCCTCTGGGATGCTGTAAGTTTTTTGGGCTGTGTGGGTTCCAGAAGTAATCTCCCCTGACATTTCGCCTGCATCTATGGCAGGCATCCTCAGATGAGTTTCCAAAGACCTCACAACCTCTGAGGATGCCTGCCATAGATGCAGGCGAAACATCAGGAGAGAATGCTTCTGGATCATGGCCATACTGCCTGAAAAACTTACAGAAACCCTGTGATTCAGGCCATGAAAGCCTTTGACAACACATTATGTGTTCCTCTCTTGTTTGAGACGGTAAAATTCTAGGACTCAACTAAAAAATGTTACTTTAAGAAAGAAAGTTAAAAATTCCAACTTTTAGGCCAATAATAGAAATACTGCAGTTCAGTTTCTTTATAGAGGAGAGACCCTGAGGAACTTGGAGTTTTTTTTTTCATGCAGCTAAAATGGTTGGCTACTGACCATTATGGTTCAGCAATCTTCATTATCAACCATCTATTTAGCTTCAACTGAGGGCACATGTAACTCCTGTTAGAAATGTTCATGGCTCTCTTTTCCTCTTTCAAGCTATCAGGAGCCCGTTTCTGATGCCTTTCTGTGTCTGTACCTGGATGACTATGAAAACCTTTGAGTTTTGATGGCAATCTAGTTTCTATGCTTTTCTTAAAATCTCCAAAATACGAGGAGGCAATTTCTTGTCACTTACCTCCAAGGATCAGCCAATCTTTGCGCTCCAGAAATGGCTATCTAAAGATCCAGTCAGCTCTGTAGGCTATACCTCTTCTTAGACAATTATATACTATGTTATGTATATAATCTTGATCCCAAAATAAAGGCATAAACCATAGAATCACAGCATTTGGAAAGACCGCAGGGGTCATCCAGTCCAATCTCCCAGTATGCAGGAATAACCTAAAGGGGCCAGATCTGTCTGATTTTGGATGTTAAGCAGGGTCAGATCTGGTTAGTACTTGGATGGGAGACCATCAACACATACTGGGTGCTTTTGATTATATTTCAGCGGAAGGAGGTGGTTTTGCCAATTTTGAATATTTTTCATAATTTTAAGCTGTTTTAACATTTGTATTTCATCTCTACTATTAAGAGTAAAGACTTTACTGTTAATTTCTACTCTTGGTTGTTGTAGGTTTTTTTCGGGCTATCTGGCCATGTTCTAGAGGCATTCTCTCCTGACATTTCACCTGCATCTATGGCAAGCATCCTCAGAGGTAGTGAGGTCTGTTGGAACTAGGAAAAAGGGTTTATATATCTGTGGAATGACCAGGGTGGGACAAAGGACTCTTGTCTTCTGGAGCTAGGTGTGAATGTTTCAACTGACCACCTTGATTAGCATTTGATGGCCTGGCAGTGCCTGGGGCAATCTTTGTTCAGAGGTGAGATGTCCCAGATTGTTTCCTCTCTGTTGTTTTGCTGTTGTAATTTCTACTCTTGTCTGTGTGTCTTGTGCATGGGACGTGGCTAAGATCCGCTTACTATGCAACAAGTTTTATCATTAAAGAACTCTTACATTCCTTCTATATTATGTGTGTCTGACCTGGCGACGTCAGTCTCTCACTCCACCCCCATGTCTCGTTCACGTGCTCCATTCTGCATTGCGCAAACAGCACTCCTGAAAGAGCAGGGGGACCAAGCTACCATACAATCACCCTTTTAAGCTGTTTTAACATTTGTAATTGTTTCTATTTTAATGTTTGTTTGTTTTTTAAAAAATGTAATCATTTTAATTTGCAAACCACTTTGAATCCCAATGCAGGAGAAAGACAGGACAAGTATAAAATACATAGTAACTCATAGTTAACATACTGTGAAGGTTTTCCTGGCAAATGGAGCTCCAGGCATTAGAAGTTCATCAGGAGTCACCGGTCTCTTCAGTACTGCAGAGACAAAGTGGATTTATGAAATAGAGGCCTTTTGGAAAAGTTGGGTCAGATTCTACATGAAATGTTTAGTGTGGAATGACCAAACCACTCTCACTCGTGCACACAATATGTTGACTCATTTGTAATATGCTCATGTTGACGGCTGACAGGGAGCTCCGGTGTGGGCTGGTCCATGAGATCACGAAGAATCGGAAACAACTGAACAAATAAACAACAAAAAACATGTTTCCCAAGGTTTTCTTCAACCTTTTTATTGCTATAGAATGCATGGCATTTTTAGAATAGTAGGTGAATAGTATAGTCAGTCCTCCATATTTGTGGTTTTGACTTCTGTGGATTTGATTATTCATAGATTTGACTAAAATGTTCTCTCTAGAAATCTCTAGGTCCTCCTGTATGGCTCTGTGGTCATTAACCTCCAGTCAAGCTTGAAGACATATAGATTGCTAGAGAGAACATCATAAGCACTATGGTAATTCTCCAGCAGACGTGGACCATGGAATCATGCTAGAAGACCTAGAAATTCCTAGAAAAGTGTTCTCTTGAGTTAAAAAAAAGCACAATAGAGAATGGAAAGTATCTGTGGAAAGTGGATGCTGAGCAAAATCAGAAGGCAGGGAATCATCACTCAATTGTGTCAAATGCTTTTCCAAAGTCCAAAAAAAACAGCATTGTAAATAGCAACCTTCCAAGCCTTCACTATTTGTTTGTTGATGTATATATTTGCTAACCTGTATTGGATGTATATATTGATTTGCCAGTTTGACTGACTTCTTTGGTGTGTGTGTGGGGGGGGGGGGGGCTACAGACATGTCATTGTACTAGGCATGTTCAGACTCAAGACTCCATTTTATTATCAGTATGGTTTTGGATTTCAATGTTAGCAGTTTGCTTTAAACCTCAATGGAAGTGGATGCAGTATGCTTTTGGACTCCAATGAAAGCAGGTTTCATTCGAAGGTATGCAGGAACAGTTTACTATATGTTTCTTTGAGAAGCAATGAGTACAGTTATACAGTCAGGACTTTCATAAGATGTATACTTAAAGACTATGGATTATTGATAAAGAATGATTAAGATAGGATATAGTTATTCAACACAGAGAAACTACATCCTATCTATAACTGAACTTTAATAAGAAATGTGCCTGTATGGTGAATTAATACAACATGTTTGTTTTTTTGTCTCTGAGTGCATATTTCAAACTAAGAGGTTTCAAGGGGGAGTACATGTTTTGGACAACTGCAACTGCAATTTCAACTTCATCTTCAAAGAAACATTTTAAATTCTCTTCTAGCTAAGTATATGTTTTGTGTGCAGTGGCATGTCTTTGTCCCTGGCAGTTCAAAGACTATGGTTTATCAGTTTAACAGCTGAGTTACCTGTGTGTCAGTACAGACATGCTTGTGAACATCACTTTTTCAAAGCATTGACTTCTAAAAAGGTCATACCTTTCCTCAACTAGTGGTTTTCAAAAGCTGGTCTCTAGACGTTCATGGAGATTCACATTTGTCAAAAAGGTATGACATAATTTTTCCTTTTCAAAAAGGTTATGAATACAATTTTTCCAAAAAAAACAAAACAAAACAAAACAAAAACCAGAGCCTATGTAACCCAATCCTCTCAAATGCCCTTTTGGCACTGCAGAGCCATTGCCTTTCATGAAGGTAGAAACATCACGTCACAAGCAGAAAATGTGCTTCCAGTCTTAATTCAATAGGGTTAACCCCCAACAAGATGTGGAAAGTATTGCTGTCAATGTGTACAGATTTATTTTAAATATATTTATTTATTTAATTTGTTTATTTTAAACATTTATGAATTGCTTCTCAGGCTATGACCATGCAAGCAGTTTACATAGCATTGAAAAATGATACACTGGAACAGCATTGCTTCAGCTGCCATCTGGGGAACATAAACAGATCATCTGTCCCCAAAAGATATAAACAAATAGGATCCGTATTGCTCAATTTTGGTGGGTTTTTTAGGCCACAGTTAAGTGTACAATGGAAAAATGTCTTGCTTGTAAAGAATTAAAATAAATGAATGAATAATTAAGTAAGTTCCCAAATTGTACAGTCATGAGGAAGGAGAAAGAGAGAACTGTAATGTTTACAAGAGAGTCATGGACACTTTCCAATAGATAACTGCTGCAGTTTTATACCTAGCTATACATACATAGCATTAAAGCTTGCAGAATATAGGTGCATCTATACTGTAGAATTTATGAAGTTTGATACCACTTTAACTGTCTTGGCCCAATGCATGGCAAAGAGTGCTAGTGCCTCACCAAACTCCCATGATTCCACAGCATTAAGCCATGGTAGTTGAAATGCTGCCAAACTGCATTATTTCTACAGTGTTGATGTACCTGAAAGTAAGTGCCAATCATTTGAGAGTTATTCCCAAGTAAACATGTGCAGGAATATGCAACACATCTACTACCATTACAACATAAGCTTTATGGGTGGAGTAGGCAGTAGGGGTGAGCACACTGCCATTTTTCAAAATGGGATCCAGGAAATTTGACTGATTTGGTAACCGAATGACAGGCCTCAAATGGTCCATTTTGGACTTGGCTGAAATGGGCCACCTGGCAGCTAATTCAGTTGTGCCATGACACCAGGTGCAGGTGATTTTCCTCCTTAGCCTTGCCTGAGCCAATCAGAGCAAGGAAGTGGATTACATGTGTTTTTGCCAAGCTGGTCTATATATACCAGGATGCGTGCCTCCATTTTCCTGTGGCATCCGGGATCCTTGGAAAGAGAGATCATGTGCTAGCTAACTCCGTGTTCTATCTCAGTGCCATCACTGCTCTCAGAATCACTTGCTTTTGGACTCAATTCCAATCTTCTTAGTTTAATATCTTTCAGTCCTTTTAAACTATTTTGCTAGGTGGACTTGCAGTGATAAATGTGCCCTAAAAATGCCACCTAAAAATGATGGAAAGGGGAGCCTTTCCCCATTGCCACCAATGGACCGGATCTTCCTGGAACAATAACAGATCTTCTGGCTGATGGATCAAAAAATAGGCTTTTGCCCTCCAGAATATGAGCAGCTCCTGAAAAAATAAAATGGGAGCAGCCAAGATATCAGATACTGAAAATGGCAGAGGGTTTGCCTGAATGGCACACCCCTAGTAGGTAGGAATTAGCTTACATATTACTGCTAGGAGTCATTGCAACAGAATCACAATGTGCAAGTGTTGTGGCCTGGTCAGATTATGTCTAGATGAGGAGGAAGGGGATGCTGGGAGGGATTCAGAGGGCTCAGAGGAGAATGGAAGTGGCCCAGGGAAAGTTGTTTTGGAATCCCCTGTCAGTTTCCAAGACACTGGAGAAAGCAATAACTGTGCAGGCTGAGAGAAATGTGGGAGATGAATGTTTGTCTAGGTGAGTGGTTCTCAACCTGTGGGTCTCCAGATGTTTTGGCCTTCAACTCCCAGAAATCCTAACAGCTGCTAAACTGGCTGGGATTTCTGGGAGTTGTAGACCAAAACACCTGGGGACCCCAGATTGAGAACCACTGGTCTAGGTAAAGATGATTGGAGTTGCAGAGACAAGGCTTACAACAAAGCTAGACTCGCTTCTCCCAGATAATTAAAGATCGGGAGCGAAAAAGCAGGTGTGTGAGAAATTATGTTATGGGAGGGACCCGGGCTTTTTAAAGTGGGTTCTGCTGTTACAATTTTTGTGAGAGGAATGCTGCATTCAGATGAAGAGCTCTCAGTTTTTGGACCTGTGTTCTCGGAATTCATGTATTTAACTTTTAAGTTGTTATTGATTCCAGTTCATGTGTGGTATAGTTTGCCTGCCTTGGATTCATGTTACCTTGTTTTTAAATATCTCTGTGGATTGACTTTGTAGACTTTTTTTGAATAGATTGCTGGACTCTCGGCTTTCATGGAAATAACCTTTTGAACTTTGCTTCTCTCTTTTGAATTTGCTTGCTTTTTACATACTCAGCTTTTAATAAACTTTACTTATTGGAATACCTGGACAGTGGTTTGTGGTGAAAAGAGGCTTCAGGGCCCTAGTGCAACAACGAGCAACCAAAAATAAATATGTCTGGATTCCATGCAGCAAATGACCAATGAGTAATCATTGTACTGTGAAAGCCCTACCTTTCATAGGAGCCTTTGGTTATCTTCTAATTCAATGAACACTGCCTTTCTGGGACCATGCTCTGTTAACTGATGTCCAAAGATTGACACAATGAAAAAGAACACCAGGTTGAATCCTGGTATTCAAACCTTTGAAGCAAATATGAATGGGACCTAAATAAACTTTAAAGGCACCAGGTCCTGTCTGATCTTGGAAACTAAGCAGGTTCAGCTCTGTAGTCCTTGGATAGGAAACCACCCATAAATACCAGGTGCTGTAGGTTATATTTCAGACAAAGCATCAGGCAAAAACACTACTGAATGTTCCTTGCCTAATAAAACCCTATGAGATTAATAGAGCTATCATAAGTGAATAGCCGACTTGCACACACAGAGATGGATATTATCTCATCACACACAGAGAATTCTAACTTTGAAATTTTAATTTCAGAAAGAAGGGAAGAGCACAAATCAGTGATCTTTCATCTTTCTGGAGGCACAGGAAATTGCTCAGAAAGGAAACATGCTCAAACACTGACAGCTTTCATCTCATTAAAGGCGGGTGTGTGGAATACGAACTCATGCTATGGCTGAAAGTTTGCCGTAATTCCTCTATCCAACAGCATTATCACTTTGTTCCTTTTCCCTTTCATCTGCTGCCCTGTTTCATTACCAGCTCAAATAAATCAAATGACTTCACATTTGTACTATGGCTGCTGCTGTTACTTCATCCCACTAGCATAGAGGCATCAACAACTGAGCTGCAAATCTGTTAAGCTGGCCAGAAATTTTGCACTTTAAGCTGATTCAGGATTGAGTCTCATGATCCCACAATTGGCAGAGCTGTCATTATATGCAGTCTGCACAAACTGCTGTCCATGTGCTGGTGAAACGCATAAACATAAATGCTTATGCACACAGGCCATGCAGATGATTCCATGTCCATTGGCGTTTAGCAGACTGCCAAATTCCAATCCTGATGGAGCCCTACTTTGAGTCCAGACCAGAAAACCCCAGTCAATATGACCAGGGGCCCTGAAGGTTGAGGGACTCAGATTTCTATCAAAAAAATCATTTCCACAAGCTTCAAGACTGCATCAATGAATGATGAATTCTGTGTTGCAGTGGCCATTAAGTCAACTTAGGACATCCTAATGAATAGCAGACCTCCAAGGCATCCTGTTATCAAAAGTCTTACTCAGATTTGGCAAACTCATGGTTGAGGCTTTCTTGAGTGAATCACAGAATCCTAGAGTTGGAAGAGACCTCATGGGCCATCCAGTCCAACCCCCTGCCAAGAAGCAGGAAAATTACATTCAAAGCACCCCCAACAGATAGCCATTCAGCCTCTGTTTAAAAGCCTCCAAAGAAGGAGCCTCCACCACACTCCGGGGCAGAGAATTCCACTGCTGAACAGCTCTCACAGTCAGGAAGTTCATCCTCATGTTCAGGTGGAATCTCCTTTCTTGTAGTTTGAAGCCATTGTTCCGCGTCCTAGTCTCCAGGGCAGCAGAAAACAAGCTTGCTCCCTCCTCCCTGTGGCTTCCTCTCACATATTTATACATGGCTATCATGTCTCATCTCAGCCTTCTCTTCTTCAGGCTAAACATGCCCAGCTCTTTAAGCCACTCCTTGTAGGGCTTGTTCTCCAGACCCTTGATCATTTTAGTTGACTTCCCCTGGACCCATTCCAGCTTGTCAACATCTCCCTTTGATTGTGCTGTCCAGAACTGGACACAGTGTGATTCCAGATGTGGTCTAACCAAGGCAGAATAGAGGGGTAGCACAACTTCTCTGGATCTAGACCTGATTCCCTGATGTTCTCAACCTGGGATCCCCTGATGTTTTTGGCCTTCAACTCCCAGAAATCCTAACAGCTGCTAAACTGGCTGGGATTTCTGGGAATTGTAGGTCAAAAACATCTGGAGACCCCAGGTTGAGAACCACTGATCTAGACACTATACTCCTATTGATGTGGGCCAAAATCCCATTGGCTTTTTTTGCCGCCACATCACATTGTGGGCTCATGTTTAACTGGTTGTCCACAAGGACTCCAAGATCTTTTTCTCACATACTGCTCTCATACTCTGGGGCAGAGAGTTCCACTGCTGAACAGCTCTCACAGTCAGTAAGTTCTTCCTAATGTTCAGATGGAATCTCCTTTCTTGTAGTTTGAAGCCATTGTTCTGCATCCTAGTCTCCAGGGCAGCAGAAAATAAGCTTGCTCCCTCCTCCCTATGACTTCCCCTCACATGATAATACATGGCTATCATGTCTCCTCTCAGTCTTCTCGTCTGCAGGCTAAACATGCCCAGCTCTTTAAGATTGAGTCAGTTCACCTGCAATGAAGCCTTCTTCTTTTCCTACTGGCTTCTTCTAGGCCAGTGGTTCTCAATCTCTGAGTCCCCAGGTGTTTTGGCCTACAACTCCACAGAAATCACAGCCAATTTACCAGCTGTTAGGATTTCTGGAAGTTGAAGACCAAAACATCTGGGGACCCACAGGTTGAGAACCACTGGACTAGGCTAAGCATTATTGGTTTTTTTAGTGTGTTATGTCGTGTCATGATAGGTCCAAACCATGAAAGTCTCAGCTTAATCTAGTTCAGGTTTAATTTTCTCTAGGGCCCATTTATTTGTCTTTTACCAACTGCCTTTTTCTGTAATATTTTGAAATGTGCTAATGCAAGGTGCCTTACTGCCACCACTGCTGTGCATTACATAATTCTGTGAATTAATAAATGTGGATGGCAAGCAAGCTGAATTTCTGCATCCAATGACTTGCTTACACAGACATTTAAACTACATTTGCCTCCTGATTTTTTCAGTAATCATGGATATTTCACTCTATTTTTTCCAAATCTTAAAGCGTGCATATTCACAATTTGTTGACATGTACTCTTTCAAGCCAGAGAAGAAGTGAATCTGTCATGTCTGAGGCCATTCAATTTTTCGGTTTCCAACAAGAACTTTATTTTGATTGGCTTTCACATTAACTCCCTCAATTGTCCTAATACACATTCTATATTTCATGTGTGATTTGAAAAATCAATTAAAAAACCACTGGAGCAGAAGACTGTTACTGTTGAGGGAACAGCTGATAAGGAAGCAAAGCTTGGTCTTCTCTTTCCCGTGTGCAATCTTGATAAAAATCATTTCTTCAGAGTGGCTCCTAGTCACTGTCCTTTCAGTACAAATAGTAGTCACAATGTCTATGGCAGTGTTTCTCAAACTTCAGCTTCCAAAATTCCCAGCTAGCTTACCAGCTGTTAGGAATTGTGGGAGCTAAAGTCCAAACATCTGGGGGAGCAGAGTTTGAGAAACTCAGGTCTATAGAAAAATCCAACTTTCTAAACTTCCCTACTGATACAGCTCTCACACACCCCTCATCAATGTAACAAATCGAAATGAGAAAAGCCCAGTAAGCTATACAACGAGAGCTTGTACTTCATTAGACCAGTTTGAAGGAGTCCTTAAGTTCTTACCCGATTTGGGGTTGCACAGTACAGGGGGGCTGCTGCTGAGTGTGGGGCTGCTACTGAAATACCCGCTGCTGCCACAGCTGCTCATGCTACTCCGTCTCACGGCTGAGATTATCTTTATTTCCTTGGTAGGACTCACTGTTCAGAGCAAAGAGAAAGACAAAATGTGGAAGGTGATTGAGCATGCAATCGATACAGGAGTTGTAGTTTTACAAAGTCTTTCGTCTTTTCTGCCAAATAATGATGGTACCTCACCAAACTACAAACCCAAGAATTCCACAGCTGTTATGGCTGTTAAAGTGGTTTCAAACTGCATTCATTCTGCTGTGTAGATGCTACCTAAGATCCCTGAGGTTGAAGAAAAGGCAGGAGAACAGGGATAACTCTCTGATATGGCAGTGAAATGCCTGGAGTAAAAAATGCAGGGGGGGGGGGGTTGGTGGAGAAAAACAGGAGACCTTGTGTACCCCCTTTAGATACATGCTTGGTACACATTACCTAGCAATCAAGAAAGAAGACATTATCTGCAATTAACTGCATATTTTTACCTGCCCTAATTCCCCCAAATTATCTTAAAGATGGCCTCCAGCAATTCAAAATTGAAAAGCTGGTAGGTGCAGATAGAATTAAAATGCAACAGAAGACGAATTGCATCTTATATAGGAAGATTTCCCAAAGGGTTGCTGTGAGTTTTCCAGGCTGTATGGCCATGTTCTGGAAGCATTCTCTCCTGATGTTTCACCCACATCTATGGCAGGTATCCTCAGAGGTTGAGGGGTCTGTTGGAAACTAGGCAAGTGAGGTTTATATATCTGTGGAATGTACAGGGTCTGCTTGAGTCAATTACAAATGTTATAATTCGCCACATAGATTAACATTTAATGACCTTGAAGTTTCAAAGCCTGGCTGCTTCCTGCTTGGGGACATTCTTTGTTTGGAGGGGTTAGCTGGCTCTGATTGATTCTTGTCTGGAATTTCCCTGCTATTTGAGTGTTAATCTTATTTACTGTCCTGATTTTAGAGTTTTTTAAAACTTGTAGCTAAATTTTGTTCATTTTCATCAACCCAGTCATTCTGACCATGTAAGCCTTCAACAACACGTTTCCCAAAGACTTGGAGCAGTCACCAAAAAGGCTGCTTCATTCATCCTGAAAAAGTATGTTAGCATGGTGGTGGGCAGAACTCAAGAAATGTGCCTCCTTTTGATCTTAGGCAGCAGGTAGGATAATATGAAAGAGGTGATCCTTGAAGTAACTCTGGTCCCAAAGTAATTTGGAATGTCAAATCCAGTGCCTTAAAGTATGCAAAATATCATCATGTGAATATTAATGTTGAAAGTGCAACAGATATTAGTCCAGTACCATTATTCCTCCCTACATCTGTGTCTCCACTTCGGGTACAGGGTGACAATGGGTAGCTGCGGCACAAATCAAACAGATACCTGAGAGGAAACTGGTGTGTTTTTTGTTGTCATGATTCTGCTTCCGGAGGCAAAAGGGACTGTCATGACTCTCCGGCATCTGCCGGGATTTCTCTGCAAGCAGCTCCATCAACCTCCTCCTTCGTCGGAAATTCATTCGAAATTGGAAGAGCAAGTTACTGTCTACAAAATGGTGTTTGTTGGACACTAAAAGAGAAAAAGAGAGAAATGTTTCTAAGTATTATTTTAGTGGAATATAAAATTAGGGAGAAGATTGTAATGCTCTCGGCAACCCATAACTGTTGTGTGTGCATGCCTCATGTGACGGCACGAGTGGTGCCACCTATGTATAAAACTGTTAGTTGTAAGATTTAAACTGTTGTATCATGCTTAATCCTGCCCCTTTTTACCCTGCTTATGTATAGTTGTATGGATTGGTTGCTTGTAGCTGTCAATCAGTACTATTTGGCTCCACCTCTTCCTGCAGGAGGGGAGAGCTTCCTTTTTCTTTTCATTCTGCCATCAGAGTTCCTGCAACATGGACGCGAGTAAAAGACTTGATTCTAAAGGACCCTGATTTAAGTTACCTCTTAGCACCAGTTCTGAGGTTTTTTACCCCTGGGACTCATGCTTTATGTCCAAATCGTCCTGGACAATTATTGAGGAGACCCAGGCGCCTTCAAGCCGGTTCTTTTGGCACCAAAGGAAGATCCTGAATTTTCAAAATATAGGCCATCTGAACTGGGGTTGTGGTTTGCTCCGGCATTCACAGCCATTGAGGAAGGAGGAAACTTGGTGAGGCTTCTCAGCTTCAAACCCCTTGGACCCAGGACTAATTGAGACTGTAACGTATGTTTTCCTTCACCCCTCTAAAGTTTTCTACCTCATTGCTTTGAAGAAATGACTTTGTGATAAATAAAACTTATCTTGAGCTATTTACAGTGTTTTGGGTTTTTGGGAGTTCCAGTTTCCTATAGGAGGGCAAGAAGCAATCCCCTGGGGGAAAGATGCCACGTCCAGCCCTCCTTTATTGAGAATAATAGCCCCCAGGCGCGACGGCACACCGCGCCCTGCAGAGATTTGAAACAAAAATGAAAGCCTTGTGATCAATCAATTTTATGTGCCTTGCAGTTGACATAATTTGTCTTCCTGGGGGAAAGAGTGGGGAAAATCATGTTATTGTTTACCTTTATGTTAGTTCTGGCTTGTGGCAATTTTAAGGCATCTCTATCATAAAGTTTCCTTGGTAGAATATGATTGAGAACTTGGCATCCATTGAGACTAAGAAAGTTCCACTTGTCCAAACTCCGCTAAGCAGAGATTTGAACTTCGGTCTCCTAGGAGTTGTAGTCCAGCACTTAGCCTCTGTGCCACACCAGCTCTCTGCACACATTCATTTCCCTTCCAATATCTCACCAATCTGATTGACAGAACCATTGCAAAAGATCATGATCAAGCTTGAAAAATCAGGATGGAGCTTGATATACTAATATTTGTCCTTGGACTCAGTTGTTCCCCATATCTCAGCTTGAATGCAAATGTAGTTTCTTAGAACTAAGTATGAACACAATCCACCTACAGTGATCTGAAAAAGTGCTCTGCCAGGCTTGGGAACATGCTTGGTGCCAAGAACAACACTCCCCTCTGCATTGTGGAGTCTACCGTATACAGTGTTGATACAACATGCCATGGTAGTGAAAACAAACACCAGGCTCAGTTTAGATCAGCAGTTATCTGCAAGACATAGCAAAATGCCTACATTGTCACTCCACCAGTAATCGCTGAGTATCAACTAGGCATATACACAGTATATTTTATTCTTGTATGCACAATTTTCTGCTAAATTTCAAGTGTTTTAGCAGTATGTTGGGAATTTCTTCAGTGTGTGTGTGTGTGGGGGGGGGGAGAGGTGTTATTATTTATTATATTATTTATGGTTTTGTACAATATATTGTATTTTGTATTCTGTTTGTGTCAATTGTGACACCCATGCTGTCGATGTCTAATATTCCCCTGCCATTTAATAGCAGGGATCATTGTAGGACTGTAACTTTTCACTTAGGCTGGATCTACATTGCCATATAGTGCAGTTTGAAACTGCATTATATGGTCAGTGTAGACATATATAATTCAGTTCCATGTATTTAAACTGCATTATATGGGGTTAAACTGCATTATACGGCAGTTTAAATCCAGCCTAAGTTTCTTCTCAAAAGTAGCAATGACTAATGTCAATAATCTTCCTGCTGTGAGGAAATCTTTGAAAAGTATGCTGTTTTTGAAGGTTATTTGCTAGTCTTATAAACCCCAAAACTTGTATGTTGTTATTTTGTGTGGAAAAATTTCACACAATTACTTTTTTCCTCCACACAGGAAAAAGAAAACATTTACGCTTGGAAAAAGAATATTTCAAAGCAGAAATACTCATTCCTGCACAACAAAGATACAGAATATGGGACACATGGCACGAAAGAAGTACGTGTGAAAAAGATCTTGGAGTCCTCATGGACAACAAGTTAAACATGAGCCAACAATGTGATGCGGTGGCAAAAAAAAAAGCCAACTGTTGCCTTGAAACCACGTAGCAATAAGAGCAATTGGTCTCGTGAAAATCTCTTATAGTGTTGAGGCAATGGGGATGTCAGGAGGGGAGAGGCTGACTACCCATGAAAGATTACAACTACCATATCAGTTCTAGATTATTGAATATGGTTTTCTGTGGGTGAGCAGATGGTGACTCCTGGATGGCACATGTATCAGAAACTAGAGCTGATGTGGTCTATCCAATGCAATTTTCTGAATCAGCACCCCAAATAACCAAACCAAATCTAAAGTTAACCAAAAACTGGTTCGTAATCCTTTTGGTACTAATGTTGGAGAGTGGTCTCTGGTCAAAGTGGTCCCTGCTCAAAAAAAAGGTTGGGAGCCACTGTTTTAAATAGTTCTGAATATTATTTCCATCCCCAGATCATTGGAGACGAGCAGGTGAGCCAAACTGGAACATCCAAGGCTTAAGCTGGACTTAACAGTGTTACATGGAAGTTAAGAAAGACAGGCAAAGGTTGCATCAGCCAAGACTGTATTATTCCAAGTGCTGACTAGCAAATAACCTCCTGTGTCTCTGCCAGTTTTCTCTGCCACATGCCATTGTCATTATTAAAAAGCTTCTATGAAGCCAGAATCACTCTGTTTTAGAGTGCCTTTATTTCCGTTTTCCACTTTGCTTCCATGCCAGCATTATTTGCTTCTTACGCCAGGTGTGCTTTCCAATCCCCCCTCAAGGCCTTCATTAAGCTGAATAGTTTTGAAAAGAAAATTGCAGAAGATGTTACACTGTGCACCAATTCATTTCCTGTTCCCAAATCCTAATTGCACTGTGGATGGTATCTGATTTCATTATACAGAGGGCAGGAGATCTCATCGTTTGGAATATATGCAATAATGGTGCAGGGTAGACCAGTGCAGCAATTGTATTAGGGAAGCCACAGCTCCATGCACTGTAGTATTTCATAGGAAAATGGAGATATGTGTAGCCAAGCAACATCAGTATATGGGACAAAGTGGAGAAAATGTATGAATGAAGAAAGTCACACACACTAGGGCAGCCTGCATCATATTTGACCAGGGGAAGGTAAGACTGCAACCTTCCTCTCCATTTCTCTCCTGTTCCATCTTCTAAATTAACGAAGGACAAACTACAGCCAGGCGTCCACATTCATTGGGGCTAGGGGCTCAGGGGAAGTGGGAAAGGGTGAATTTTAAAAACCTCGCTACTTTTTACTGGAGAAAAAACTTCTCTATCAACCCCATCAGATGAAGGCACAGAAGAGTCTTCTCACTGTACTATCAGCATGGAGTCCCCTGGAGCCATCACATGATGCAGGGCTGCTTCCAGTGGGACCCCATGGCTGAAAGGAGCCAAAGAGAGAGCAGGGGACATCAGGGAAAAGCTGTGGGAAGGTGGAAAATGGATCCTAATGGTAGGAAACACAGGGTGACGGTTCCCTAGGCTGCCCCATGATTGCCACTGCTGTCCCCCACTTTACAAAGAGCCACCTGATGAGGTCCTATGAAACTACTAGTTCTCTGTATGTATATGCTCATTCGGACAAACTGGATAGCCTCTTCTTCCTAACACTGAGGAATCATAAAAAGACAATCCCTTTGCCTAGAGAAGCGTTTCTCAACCTGGGGATCGAAGCACTGGGGGGATAACGAGGGGGGTGTCATGGGGGTCGCCAAAGACCACCAGAAAATGCAATATTTTATGTTGGTTATGGGGTTCTGTATGGGAAGTCTGGCCCAATTCTATCGTCGGTGGGGTTCTGAATGCTTTGATTGTAGGTGAATTATTAACCCCAGCAACAACTTCCAAATGTCAAGATCTCTTTTTCCCAAACTCCACCAGTGTTCACATTTGGGCATATAGAGTACTCGTGCCAAGTTTGGTCCACCATTGTTTGAGTCCACAGTGCTCTCTGGATGTAGGTGAACTACAACTCCAAAACTCAAGGTCAATGCCCACCAAACCCTTCCAGTACTTTCTGTTGGTCATGGGAGTTCGGTGTGCCAAGTTTGTTTCAATTCCATCATTGGTGAAGTTCAAAATGCTCTTTGATTGTAGGTGAACTGCAAATCCCAGCAACTACAACTCCCAAATGACAAAAACAATCCTCCCCCAACCCCACCAGCATTCAAATTTGGCCGTATCAAGTATTTGCGCCAAATTTGGTCCAGTGAATGAAAATACATCCTGTATATCAGATAGTTACATTATGATTCATAACAGTAGCAAAATTACAGTCATGAACTCACCACAACATGAGGATCTGTATTAAGGGGTCACGGTACGAGGAAGGTTGAGAAACACTGGGCTAGAGAATTGCTTCCGCTATCCTCATCCTATGCTCCCCTCCTGTCCCTCCATTTTCACATGCAGAAATATTAGATCTGGACTTCAGGGGGAAATATGCTGCCTTTTCCAAAGGAGACTTGGCACAAAGGAAGGTACCCTACAACTAGAATATGAGATGCAAAATTTAGCCACAGCAGAAAAGCTGGTCATCTGTCAAGAGAAGAGTTAATGAAAGACAGACCTGCCTAGTGCTTTATTCCAGCCCTTGCCCGGCACCTCTTGCCTCCTTGAGCTCAGATCCAGCTTAGATATGTGGCTGGAACTTTTTGCTTCACTACCATTATATTAGATC